TGCTGCTGCCGGTGGGCCCCGGGGGCTCTGCTAGCGCGGGGGGCTCTGCTAGCGCGGCCCCAGCCGCCCCTCTGCTTTTGGAGTCACTGCAAGGAAATGTGTGCTTCTGGATGCTTTGTAAACAGTTGTTGTGTGCATTTTGCATGTTTCTTTTCTTCTTCTGGTGTTTAATAGTCTGGCAGTTGTTAGATTATGTAACATCAGTTAAAAAAACCGCACTTTCAGAGTCTTGCAGCAATAGTTACTGCCTCTGAAATGTGTTTGGCTTATATTACAGTTAGAGTAGGCTGTTCTGAAGGCAAAATTGACTTTTTCTTGTATCGGATCTTCATTAATGAAGTCGGGGTTGCTTTACGTGTGTTTTCATGGCAAGGACAACTTCTGTTCTTTCTCATACGTGCAGGGATCAAAGCTGGAAATACCTCTGTGGCTGGCGAAAGGCCTACAGGACAGCAAAAGGAGAATAATTTCTGTGGAACTGCCGAAGGTTTACAAAGAAGCCTGGAGGACAGTGTTCAGTGCTGATGCCACTGTGGTTGATCTCCATAAAATGGGGCCGTACTACTACGGATTTGGCTCCCAGCTCCTGAATTTTGACAATCCAGAGAATCCTGAGATAGCTCAGACTATCCTGCAGGCAAGTATCTGAACTAACTCTTGAAATTTGGTTTTACATCTTTCCGTCTTCCTCTTGCTCCCAGCTGCTCAGCAATCTTCAGGGAAAATATCCTGGTTTAATCCAAATGACTTCTGGATTTAATGTGGAGTTCTAGATCAAGCTGTAGGATGACCCTTTTGGCAACTGCCCAGTCTAGTGGTGGAAGCCTCAAGTATGCATCCAGGAGTGTAATTTTAGCTTGGAGTTTCCATGCTGTAAATGTGGTATTTCATAAAATCCTGTAAAACAGGACTAGAGGAGATGTAAGATGATTTAATTGTGCCCATGCTGCAAGGCAGAATTAATTCGCCCTCTATTGTTTCTATTTTTTCTACCTTGTTTTTAAAGCTCTGTAATGATGAGACTTCACACCGCTCTGGGCAATCTGTTTCAGTGCTTCACCATCCTAATCTCAGCAGGTTTCCTCTGATGTCTAAACTAAAGCTCTTTTGCAGCAATCCAGGCTCTGTTCTGTCTGTCTCGTACAAAGTAACGCTGAGGACAGATTATTCTTTTCCTTCCTGCAGGAGTCCCAATTCATTTGGTATCTCATTGTGGATCATGCTTTGTAACCTCTGAGTGTCCTTACTGAGCACTGCTGGTATCTTTCCAGTTGATCTGCATCCACTGTGACATGCAGCATGCAGCCTCCTGCTTGGGCCGTGCCCTGATGAAAACAAAAGGATGACTTTGTGAATGTTGCAGGCCCTGATGTGCTTTGCTCATTATGGTGCAACGTTGTGTTTTTCATGATAGAGCGACATTGGTCTGCATTGGGTTTGCAGTCCGCAGTAAGACGATACAGAGTGCATACACAATCGTTCCTCTTCCTGGGTTTGTACGGTTCCCTATTTCTGCCTTCCTGTAAAACCTTACACTAGTCCCAGCTGAATTACATCCTGTTCTTTTCACACCTGCTTTCTTATTTGTCGGGACCATTATGAATTAAGAGTTGTGCACCCCAACATGCTCGTAGTCATCTCTCCTCCTGTGTGTTGTTTGCTGGTTTAATAAGCATAACTTCTGTTCCTTTAGTAAGCTTATTAATTAATATATCAATTAGTACTTAGTTCCAGGTAGGCCTCTGTTGAACGCCACGCAGACAGGAGCTATGGATAATTGTCTTTACCACCCATCTACAGGTGGGTTCACTCAATCTTGCAAGAATGCCCCATGACAGATGCTCATCTGCTGCTTTTCCTCCCTTCGTAAGGCTGAGAATCAAGAGGAAACAAGGCTGGTTGCTCAAAGTTTGTTCTTGGCAAATCTGTCTTGGCTGTTACTCTTCTCTCTATTTTCTTGCAGAAGTTTATATATCTTTTATTTGTTCCAGTATGTTTCCAGGAATTCATACTGATGGGTTTATAATTCCCTGGCTCTTCCTTCCCCCCTCTCCATCTCCCCTTTCTCTTTTAAAAGATAAATACCATCTTTGCCAGTTTGCAGATTTCCGTGCTCCCTGAGCTTTTAAAGATAACCACTAACAGCTCTGAGATTTCTTCAGACAGCTCTCTAAGTAGTCTGGAATGATTGCTATTGGCTTTTTTTTTTTTCTTTCTCTGTTCTTTAAATGAAGGCTGATGCAGAGAGGCTTTAAAGTGCTGCTGCTTTCTTGGACTTGGCCACTGAAAGCTTGCATTCTGCATTGAGGAGGTGACCACACCTTTCCTTGTCTCTCTTCTTTACGCTAATGGGTATCTTAGGAAAAAAGGCACATTAGTGCATGTCACCTGTTGACAGAAAGATCAAAGTGCACAAGGTATGTTTTCTCTTTAGTAAAAGCAAAGGAGAGAGGAGTTGTGCTGACTTAAAAAATAAACAAAACACAAAAAAACCCTCCTCTCCCAAATATTTAGGAACTATGAATGTGAAGTATAACTATGTGGTGACAAAGCCAGCTTCTGAAATAACAAAGCATGTGTTTCAAAGAGTTTGGACCCTTTTTTTTTTTATATTCCCAAAAGCAAAGATAAGGAGGGAAATAAAAATCCCTAAATATGTCTTGTTGCTTAGCTTTTTAAAATGTTCTTTATTAGTTGTAGATTTCTTGTTTTGCCTTTTTTTTCGTGGCTAAGCATTTTTCAGCATACTGAATGTGTTTCGGTGGTGGTTTGCCTTGACTACCAGGCCATTCACAAGTTGCAGCTTGTGTGTTCCTGCAGCAGCTGCTGTGGCATGAGATTCAGTGATTGCTTCTGAAGCGAGGTGGAATAGATTGTAATTGTGTTATATCCTGTTGTCTGCTCAAGCCTGTTATTAGGAAGCAGCCAAAATCTAATCCCGTGCTTGCTTCCCATCCAGTATATCAGGCACTTGCTCTCCCAGCTCAAGCAGGAGGTGGTTTGTCTTTGTATCGACGGTTAACAGGCGCTATGTGCTTTGCAGACCCTAGCTTTGAACTAGAGCCTACACCTTTGGCTTTTCAGTCTTCAAAGCTCAACCCCTCTAGCATTTGAGCTGAAGAAGCCTCCGTGTTACCTGTCAGTAATTGTGCTTCTCTTCTTCAGACGTTTATTAGCCGTTTTCGTCGCATCATGGACTCCTCTCAGAATGCCTACAATGAAGACACGTCAGCGCTGGTGGCTCGGCTGGATGAATTGGAGCGAGCCTTATTTCAAGCTGGCCAGAAAGGGCTGAATGACTTCCAGTGCTGGGAAAAGGGACAGGCTTCTCAAATCACAGCTTCCAGTCTGGTCCAGAGTTATGGGAAAAGAAAGTTCACAGATATGGATGGTTAAAAGCCTGAAGAACGTGCAGCTACAGTGGGGGACACTGAGAGATTTCCAGTCTGTCTGTGACAGAAGAGAAAGATGAATCAGCTTTGAGGAAGGACAGGCTCCCTGTCCACTAATGGAAATTCTGTAACATCTTTGGATTAGATGAGTGCGAATTTTAAAGGCAGACGGCAAGGGTATAAAAAATTGATTGCATCACATCGCTGGATAGCGTTACAGCTTACTCCTGAGGGTTTGCAGTTAAAGTGTTTGCTCAGTGGCTGTCAGGGTGTGAGAGGATTTTCTGAAAGGGCTATTAGTATTTATTATACTTTACCTTCCAAATTGATATTTACAATACTGGATCTGTTTGGAAAAAAGTGGAATTTATGTTTTTCATCTTGCCCTTCCCATTCCAACTTCCTGTTTCCAGGTTCCCCATTCTCTGGAGAGCCCCAGGGATGTGGAAAAAAATGTGGTACAAATCGCATTGAATTTTTCCCATCATACATTGAGGTGGAACTCACTCTTTGAGAGGCAGGAATGTTTTTCTTTGCTGACTTTCTTACACAGTGGCAATGCCCCAGAGAAAAATACCTCCTCTAACCCATGTAGCAAGCGAAGTGGCCATGCAGGTCTCACATGCCTCCTCATCCTCTCTCCCCCTTTCGGCCCTGGTGGGCTTGATGCTGCACAGGGTGGAGAATGTTCTCGTTTGGTGTGAGGGGCTTTTGCATGGATGCATCTGTATGATGGGTGTTAAGCTGCTCTGCTTGTTTTAGAGGAGGCAACAGAAGGCAACAAAGAGTTAGTCCGGACTGGATCAGAAGAAACAACTTTAATGGAAACTCTCCCCCATTATCAACCTCTGAGCTGCCTTCCCATGAGAAATTCTTCTGATTGCTGAATTTGGTTAATAGAAGGGACAGAGCAAGTGAACTGAGTTTCCTGCTTTCTGATCCATCTCAATGATCCTAGCAAAATGATCCTAGTGAACGTCATTCTTGGAGTGACTGGAGTTGGAACTTGCTCAACAGTGCAATGGCTATCATCCCCTGTGGATGCCGTGAAACCTAGATGAGCTGAAGTCCCATTGGATTGGAGACAGAAAACAGATGGTTGTAGTTGTAACTACATCTTACGTTGTAAGACGTAGTTCCTGTGGTCACCAGGTTGGTCGTCCTTTGGAAGAAGGTATTAGACCTCTTCTGGGTCCTTCTGAGCATCTGTAGGTGTACCCTGCAGAGTACCTAAGTGGAGGAGCCAGATCGTAATGATACCAGCGCTTCCTCCTCTGCAGGAATCACTGGGAGGTGACAGCGAGATCCACATCTTGGAGGAGTTGTTGCTGGACTTGCAGATGCACCTGGATACTGGATACTTCAGACTGGAAACCTCACGTGCAAAGGGTGTGTGGCCATTCCTTGGCCAGAGGAGTGAGGGAGGTGGTGAGAGGGGCCAGCACGCTGGCTTCACCAGCACCTCAGTGTCTGTGCCTGAGCCGCACAGAGCCAGCTGTCCTGCTGCAGGAGACTCATTGGAAGCTGTGCCTGGCAGCGTTTTTCACATATGTGCAAGATCAGATGCTGCTGCACTTAGTGACTTGATGGCACCTAATAGCCCATGCGTTTTCATGAACCTTTTGTCTATTGTCTGTTTCTGAATTTTTTTACATTGAATAAATATTTTGTAAGGGGTTGCTTGAAGTGTAAAACTGTTGTTAATTGCCCTACAGTGGAAAAATTAGTCATAGATTGGAAAGCAGAGGTCTGTACAAAACAGTGGCCATGATAGATAATGCAGTCCTGCTTATGTCACTCGTCTTCTCTTAGAGGTGATGTGGTTGGGAGCTAATTCATGCAGTCATTTGAGTGCAGAAGTAGTTCCTGCCTGACTCACCCCACCTGGGTAACAGCTGTTTGCTCAAGTCGTGGGAGAAACACTGCCAACCAATCGATAAGCTATTGATTCTATAACTTGCGTTTTTATGAAACGCAGGATGGTTGGGGGGTATTCTGTGCAGTAGTAGCAGGTGGAAATTGGCTGTCTCTGTGTTCGTACTCTGCTGTTCCCAGTGCTGTAGCATGGACTTCATGCAGCATGTCAAAGCTGTTCCGTGCTTCAGGTGCAAGGGACGCAAGTTTAAGTCCATCTGTGATAAGCAGCATTTTTGAATCGGAAGGATTATTTTAATGAGATGGTGGCTTTGAGGTCTAGTTGGTTTATAACCAAAATCACTTGTTCATCAATTTCTGGACTGGTTTTGATAACTATCCAAACTCATTTTCCTATGCTTGTAGGAACATTTTTCTTCTCTACTGCTGGGTGCAAAATCCAAGCAGGCAGTTTCTTATTTGCCAACATTTTGTGCGGCTACTTTCAGAGGGGGGAGAAAAAAATCCCTGAACTAGTCTTTAATGTCACTGGCTTCTTGTAAGTAGGCAATGTCACTTTTAGTAACCCTGAGTGTTTAGGAATAAACACCAGTAAGACCCTTAAAAAATCTGAGTCTGTAATTTTAAATTACAGTGTTGGTTAGTAGATTTGATATTGTGTTGATTTTTTTCCTTTTTTTTTTTCTTCCCCCCCCCCCCCTCACTGTCTGGAATGCTTTTTTTCTGCCCAGAAATACAACAGAAGAGTGCTCTGTACTTTTTATGAACAGAAACTGTCTTTTATGATTGCACTACAGCAAGTTGTAAGTTAGGGGAGTTTGAACTTGTGTATTTTCAGAATGCAACGATAAATCCTCATAACAGAACTACACTAAAGAGGTCTGAAAAGGACTTTGAAGTGTCATTTCTCCCCATGTCCCTCAGCTTTTAAACTGGAGGACTACTGATGTTTATGAGAAAGCAGTCCATAGACACATTTTACAGTATTGCCACAATGATTTTCACTGCAATCAAATAAAAAATAGACAAAATTTGACATGCTGATTAGTTATGTGTTCACATAAGAATATTTGTTTGGGTTTTAATGTCCTGTTTTTGAAAAGAGGTACGAGCTGACCTGGCTCTTCAATGAGCGAAGAGTTGGATTTGATGATCCTTACGAGTCCCTTCCAACTTGAGATATTTTATGATTAGCCTCGTCTAACCCATCCCAGGATGGTGTTTGTCCAGCCAGGCCTTTAGAAGTCACCTCCGCAGGAGAACCCGCAGCCTCCCTGGGTGATTGTTCCTGTGCCTGGCTGCCATGAATGATGAACAAAGTTGGAGCTGCGCATTCACTGACATAGCAGAAGACGCGGCGGCTGAGCTTCCTGGTGGCGAATTCCTGTTGGAATGGTTAGTGGAACTGAAAAAATTCCCTCACCTAAGTTTTGCATTAACTTCTCATGAAACTGAGCTCCTCTTGTTTATCTCTTTTCTGTATTTTTTTCAAGCAGGTGAGGCAGCCGTGGAAGGTTGACCCCCAGTTAAATAGCCCTGCAACCAGCACACACACTTTCTCACCTATCTAAATTACCCTCACACAAAACATTCATGTTTCTTCCTTGGTCTCTTTTGCTCTAAACAATGTCTCCGTTGGTCCTCTGGCATTGATTTATTTTTGGTCAGCAGAAAGAAGCAGTTGATAGCTTCTGCCAGCCTGGAAGCTGGTGTCATTTGGACCAACAGCAACCAGGAGGAGCAGCAGCAAGAAATGTTTTGAGAACTGACGTACTGTAACACCACGTTATTTTTATGATGCAAACAGTGGCACCTAACTGAGTTAGGAGCACAAGCCTTTCTGATCTTGATCAGTGATTTTCTACCCATTTTTTGATGACAAGCTATTACAAGAGCTTCATTCCAAATTTTAATTGAACCGGTTGCTTAACAGAGATGTGATGTAATCAGCAGAGGCACAGTGTGAGTGCTTTCTTTACAGAGAGCTGCTTCCGTCCCCAGATGTCCTTTATATAAAGCACATTGTCTGGTAGAACAGCATATGGCTCAGAAGTTCCTGGTTTTATTTAAAAAAACCTAGCTATTCATCGCGCACTGCCTCTGCCTGGCAGGAGGCAACTCAAAGCTGTTCCTTGCCTCAGTTTCCTTTTCTGAGAAATGAAGGTAGCGCTTCTTTACTGAGAGAATGTTTTGTCCTCTGGGCTGTAGGCAGCATCTTTGTTACAGCAAATACGCCAGATGGATTTTCCCAGCTCTGCTGCATCTGCCAGAGCTCACATGCTTACTTGGTAAGTGCTTGTCAGAGCTAAAAGAGTCTGCTTCTCAGAAATCCCTCTGGTTGCCTTGATCCATTAAACCCTTACTGCTAAGCTTCTTCAAGACTGACACATATCTGATAGCTCATAAGATAAGTGCTTTTCCCACTCTCCGCCCTTCTCTCCTGCTCGAACAGCCTCCTGCCCCGCAGAGCAGGGCTGAGCGTGTGGTTCTAAGCCCACGTTTCTCCTCTGTTTTCCTGATCTTACCTGCTCAGAAGTGCTTTCACTAGAGGTGGCAGCAGCCTGAGCACTAAATGCTGAGCAGAATTGTCAGCGGGACTTTGCACAAAAACCGGTGGAAGGATAACGGCTTGCCCTGGTTTCATCACATCACATGAGTGAGTAATGGTGGGGAAAGCCATGAATGGTTCCAGCTTACGTCTGATGGTTTTGCTTTGCAAGCCTGGCTTTGGGAGCTGAACTCTGGTGGGTGTAGCATGCTTTTCTGTATTTTGTGCTGACAAGGCAATGGGATTCAAGTCTGGAGCAGGCAGATGCTGCTTTTGAAAGGAGCTCTGCCAGTTGGGGCTTCCCTTGAAGGTGTCTCCTGGGTGAAGTCCATCTGACTGCTCACCTTGACTTCTATCTTCTGCCGCAGTGCTGCCGACTGAGAGCTGCTTCCTACATCTAGGCTCAGGGAGCTTTTGGGTGTGGAAACAGCCTGACAGCCTTTGTTCTGAAGCTAAACCTGGTGTGGTGTCGGCAGGATGTTGAGGATGGTGTGAACCTGTTCATACCACGTGCACGTTGCTATGGAGAGGATGCGGACCTACTGCGGCTGGGCTGGAGCTGAACATCCATGGTACCAGTTTTATCTAGTTTAT